TATCGTGGGATGTGTGGTGATTCCCACCTCTACTAAATATGTAATGTGATATGTAAAACTGAACACGTGCTGTGGATGGAGTTTGGGATGGCCTGTGTGCAGCGTTCCTTGGTGTGATTTTCTCAGAAACTCGAGGACACATCACTGACTAAAACCAGCTCACAACCACTTTAAAGTCCTGAAACAAGAACTGTAAGACTGTGTAACCATCAGGTGCAGAATCTGGATTGATCTTGAAGAACATGAACCTGATTTATGGAAAATAAAAATCTTTTAAAATGAAACCCAATGAAATTGTGGCCCATTGAATAAAAGTGACCTGTCGATGTGATTGTTTTGCAGTTGATGCTGATTATCGGCCTCGCTCATGCTCTGGTGGTGTTTCGAGTTGTTGCTGCCCCCCTGATGTCTGAGAGTGAATGGGAGTTTTTGAAAGACAACGCCAACCTTGTGTCTGTTTTTCTTGGAGCTGTGCTGCACTACATCACCATTCAGATCATGACCCGCGTACGTATACCTGGATCTTCATCACTCAGTGTTGGCAGAATGAACAGGAAGAGCACGTTCCATTTAACCAGCTTAAATACTATCCAGGGTACCAGGGAGCCTTTGATTGGTCATTGTTGCACAGAGCAACATCTCCCAGCATGTTACGTTTAAAGGCCAACCTGCACATTCTGCTTAAACAGAGCCAAAAACATGCTCTGCAGTTTGAACAAGTTTCTTCTGTAAATCTTGCCGTGGCTGCAGCTGGAGCTGGGGAGCACACAGTGCTCTCACTTTGTTGTCTACTATAGCAGCTCTCTAGTCTGTGGCTCAGGAGTCCTCGTTTCCAAATGGCCTTTGGCGAGACACTGACACTGTCAGAGTGTGATATTTAGAAAGCACTTAAAAGCATAAGAAATGCATCGTATATATTTGTACGTACATTTTCACTCAGTCAGCCTCAGCCTCCGTCTGTCTCATGTCTACTCTGACAGACGGCATCTTTTGCCCTGTAATGAGTCTGGGGACCAGCTGATGGTGAACCTCTAAAAAACAAAAGCCGCTCTGCTCTAAAGCATGCAAAGAAAACCAAAGGATGGTGTATTTGAAACTAGTTTGGCCAAACTTGCTATCAAAACTGCTCCACATTGTCTGGCAACAGACATACAGGAGATTTGCTCCTTAGTGTCTGTGCAGGTTTGGAAAGAAAGTCGCTTCTTTAAGTTTCGTTCTCTCCCTCCTTATTTTTAACGTCACCATTACCCATGAAGTTGCATTTCAGTTGAAATCTCCCGACTATTACGTAGGCGTTTGGCCAACGAGGTCTTATGGTCTCTGCTGTCTCGACACTTCATCCTTGACTTTGGTTGTCCTGCAGTCCCAGCAGCCAGTAAACTGAGTAAAATAATTTTGTTGTGCCGGAGCGTCTCACAGCTATCGGAGCATTCAACCTGCCCCTGACACTGATCTGACAGGTCAATATACAAGATGTGATCAAAACACCTGATGTAGTTTGTCCACCAATGCTTTCGTTGTCTGGACCAAAAACCTCCCCCTCTGGGTCAAGCTGATTCAGTTCAAGGGTCATCACTAGTCACGAGAGCTCTGGGTCTGTTTGTCACTGTATAATCATACATATTACTTTTAGAGTTTATTTCAGCATTTCGACCAAACCAACATAATCC